ACTTTTACTTACACAGCAGCATATTGAGTTATAACAAAATATGAGTTTTATATAAAAACTGATTCATAACTTATCATCTTTCTATAAAGTTAAAGATACTGTAACAATTTCCAAATCCATGTGAGGAAAATTTCATTGAAATAATCTCTTGGTTTATAACTAAAAGTCCTTTTTAGTAATATTAATTTGTCAAAAAATTATTTGGAAAACTAATAAGTTTAAATGTAAATGAAATAGTGTATAGGAAGATACAGAGATAGAATTTCTGATTTGTAGAAATGAAAACTTTGCTTGTTTTAGTTTTAGGCAAATACAAGGTTAAAGCTTTATAATTTTGTCATCAACTGGTATATGTGTTGAAGTAGCCCACACTGTTTGTATGAGTGACCACATGACACCTTTTGTATTTCCTAATAAACAGTGGTATTAACGTCAGACAGCAGTTTATCTCAATGTCTACTGAAAAAGAAAGTGCTTTAAAACCACAAACCTTTTTTGAATTTTAATTGTGTAATACTTCAAGTGAATGGTTAGTGTTGCTATTTTAAATAGTCTCTATAATAGTAAAATGATTGGATAAACAGTAAGTCATTCATTTATTATATAGCAAAATGTACTTCAGATAGAAATGGAAAGAACTGCTGTATGTTGTTAGTTTCAGTCAGCAAACTTTCAACATGGATTTTCTACAATTTATTGGACTTTAGTGATAAACTTATAAAGCTAAACACGATAACTAAGCATCCTTTTCAAGACAAGCGTCAGGAAGTGTGAAAAGTGTGATTAGATCTTGATTAGATATCAGTACCTTAAAGTCATAAAAACAATTTGCTTTTTCATTCAATATTTATAAAACATTAGATATAATAAAATCCTTTCATGATTGACAATTATTAGCTATAAAATTTGCCTTGTTCAAATGATTTTTGATAAAAATTGACATGTGTAACAGTGTCATGATACTTGTTTTGTTAAAATAATAATTTTTATTTGAACATAACTAAATCTAGACATTGATGACATGTTGAGACACCTTATGATGAAGTCATCATAGCAGCCTAGCAATGCAAATTTGTAATGTTTATGCAATCTTACAGGACTTTCCACCTGGTATCTTCATCCGCTTATAGAAACCTTAGGAACAACATCAGCGTATAGTAACATCATCCACCTATAGAACCTTAGTAAGACCATCTGCCTATAAACCTTAGTAATACTATCCACCTATAGTAACAGACCCTCTGTGTGAAACCTTAGTTACACCATCATCCTACAGAGCTTTGGTTGAAAACTGTCATAGTTAAATCTATGTTTGTATTCAAATTGCCCTCAGTAATATACATAACATCTATAGTAACAACATCTGCCTATAGCAATAGCATCCACATACAGAACCTAAATATCAACATCCTCCTATAAACCTTAGTAACACTATCTATCTATAGTAATAGGCCCTCTGTGTGAAACATCAGTGACACTGTCTGCCTATGGTACCTAAGTAACATCATCAAACTATAAAAGTTTGGTAATGCCTATAGAAACTTTAGTAATATCATCCACCTATAGAACATTAGCACCATCTGCCTTTAGTAGCATATCCTCTGGTATCGAATTATATCACCCCTCCCTAAAACACTAGACCCTCTGGTTCCACTTTGTGAAATTATGATGTCACTCTTAGCAATGCTGTTTCTGTCTGTCCTAGCAATGTGCCCTGTGATGACACTTCATGAAACTGTCTCTACCCCCTTCCCCCGGGGTCGACACACGTGTGTTGCCCTATGACGGCGTGTCATGCAACAATCCTCATAACTACTGACATAGACAACTATGAAACAACACTCACTGCAGCTTTATCAGAAATAATAGAAAAAGTAATACTAAAAATGAAACCTAAAATGTGTATAAACTGAAATATTAATGAAGAAATAATGACTAAAATCAAAGAATAGAGAAAAGTAAGAAGGGAATACATACAAAAGAGGTCTAATCAAATTAAAACATAATACAATAAAGCATCGGCAGTCATCAATCTATTCATTAAACAAAAACAACAAAATAACTTGGAAAATATTTGTAATGACAGCAATCCAATCACATTCTGAGAAAAAATCAAATGCAACCAAATGCAAAATGATAACTACAGCCTTTTCTATAACAATCAAACATCTACAACACAAAAGGGAAACCTGAAATATTCCTACATTACCTAAAAGACACATTCTTACTCCCTAAACTACAACACTTTCAATAACAAATTTAAAAAGGTCAGTAAATAACTACATCTCGGAAAATAAACAAAAATTCAAATTAAATTTCCAGTAGATACAAACATGATACAAACAATTCCAAATAATTCCAACAATATATTTATGATATTTTCAGACATCTTAAGTAACTGAACAACAAAAATAAAAGATTACACTACATATCAAAATTTTTCTGCCTGTCTGCCAGAGTGCCTTAGGGCTCTCATAAACCTTCTATTCTATATACTTTATGTCAGTGACATAAATATACCATCTGAAGATGAAACAATAACAAAAGCCTCCTAATTTGTGGATGATATACCAATAGGATCTTCCTTAAAAAGCCTAATAAAATAAGCTAAACTCTTACAACATCAACTAACTTGTATACAGATATGGTGCTCCAAATGAAGAGTAATCTTCAACCTGAATAAAACCCAACTCATTATTTTTTACACAAAACTGTGTAAAAAGAAAAGAGATATAAACCAAATTTACACAAAGATATACAACATAGAAATACGAAACACAAAATCAGTCAATTTCCTTGGCATTACGTAGGATACTAGATTAACTTGGAACCATCACATAGAAATATCAGAACAAAAACCATATCTTGGCTAAGTATCCTTAAGACTTTAAACAAACAAATGTTATGCAAGTCACTAGTATGTCCAAGTATAGAATACAGATGCTTAGCAGTACTTAATATATCAGGCAACAATTAACTAAAACTAAAAATAATTCAACAGATAGCAGTTAGAATAATAACCAAACTAGTTACCTACACACACAAACCAAAGAACTTCATAGATCAACCAAATTCCCATACCTTAGATATAGATTATTCTCATTTGGTAGTGACAATTGCAATCTAAGTTCAACAACTTTTTTAAGATGCAGTAAAATACTTAGTTGAAGTAGTATTCCCAACGTGAGCTTACAGCCCTAAAAGACTATTGTAGACAGGAATATTGCCTATGAAGGGTATTACCCAAAACCTTGAGAGTGAATATCATTATGAACAAAAACTCCACCTGATAAAGTGTCATAGCTTAAAAAGTCAGAAAAATGCATTAGCCTTGAAGAGAGGCCCCCTCTTCCATGTGAAGAACTATAACTGAAATCAGATCAAGTTAACCCTCAACTTCTCAACTCTCACATCTTACTCTTGTTATTGGTGCCCCCCCCCCTTGACATTATACCCACTGCCAAAAAACTCTCCTTTCCACAAAGACCTCTGCTAACCCTACTCTTACCCCTCAAGTAGTGTTAAACCTCAGCTACATTTCCTTCACAAACACTTCTATGATGGATGAGGGGGGACCTCAGTTCCTGAACATCCTTGGGGAAATTCTCCACCCCTAAATCTCCAACTTTTGACTTTGACCACAGTCCAAATGGTATGATGCTGAATTATACAAGCCACCTCTTGTACTAAAAGCAGTCTTAAGCCTCTTCTCATCATTCAGCTTGATTTGCCAGATCCATAGTATTGGACCAATGGAGGCATTAATCTGTTGATGGTAAAGGAAGGGGGGGTCAACTCAATTTACCAAGTTTATTGGCCTAAAATCAACATAGAACCTTGATGCAACTTCCTTTTTCGTGATGATCACTGTTGGCAAGATGTTCTCTTCAAGTGTCTCCCTGAACTACACAGTTGCTGCCCATTTCATCTTTGTTTGTCTATCAAGAGTGATAATACTCACTTACTTATGATTTATTCATTTTGCAGTTTAAAAAAGCAGACAGAAAGTATAGCAAAGAATAATCCGTGTTTTGGTGTTTTAAAAACATATTTATGCATTTTCATTTTACTAAATTAAAAAGACATTTGTATGTGTACAGTACCTTTGTATGTGTCTGAAAAATAACACATTCAACGTAGATATTATAATAAGTAATTATCATAGCTTCAAAAATATAGAAATTATTAACAAATTTATTTTGCTTTCTCAGTGAATGAATCCAGAATTATTTTCACTCTCCAGTGTTAAATAAAAGCAAAATATTAAAAGTTATATTCTACTTTTTTGTGTGTTTAGTGGGAAAGAGATGAGGCAAGTAAATTGTTAAAAAGACAAGTAGATTTTTCTAGGTTTTTCTCGGACAAAATAAAAATTAGATTTGCTTTTAATCATGAATTTTTTTTATCACTGAAATGTGTAAGTTCAGTGAAGAAATAAAATAATCCACAAAGAATGTAGAGGCCTAATCTGTTCTTTGATTTGCTGCTCCTTCTACAGTAGACTAGTTTTGTCAATTGCATAACTCATCAGAACTACTTGGAAGTGCAAATTAGAGAAGTACAGTAAGCCTCATACAGAGAGTTAAGTATTTTGGGTTATAAGTGATGAATAAAGGATTTTACATCAAACCCTGAAGAGATTTAATTTTGTTTGTTATTGTTCTGTCTTGTACTGTTTGTGTGTGTGTGTATGTAGAAGACTTTTCAAATGTTATTTTAATAATATATTTAATGTTTGTAAGGAGTTGAATTATAATGCATTTACATAAAGTGTATTTATTGATAATATAAAAACAATAAAAAATATCATATTTTGCATCATGATTTAAATATAAACATATCAGACAGCAGATAATGCACTGACACCCTAGTTTTTACAGTTGATTTTAGAAAAATTTGTTGTTGTTTTTTTTGTGACCGGTTACTTAGTACTAGACACTTGAATATATTTCTTATTTGAATATTGTGGTATATTGTATTTTCTTTTATCTATTCAACAGGAAATAGACATTGCTTTTGAATTAGAATATAAAGGTGGCTTTCAGTTATCTCTAGATGTTGAGATGGTGCTGCGGCATTCAGCATTTCTTTCAGTTCAAATGACACAACTTAAAGGCCTGATGTGTCTTCAGTTGACTCGCTTTCCATATACCCATTGGTCTTGTTCATTTTTTGAAGTAAGTAATTTTCCTTTGTTATTTGGTGAAAATTTTCTCTGTGTCTTCAACAGCAACTATGGATCATGGAAAATATTTGCTAGGCAGCAACAAAACCATTAATGTTTTCTGATTGCTAATTTATTCTTTTCTTTGATCAAACTCATATCTTGTGAAAGGTACCTATACACTAATGCTAAGAAAGATAAAGGTAGACTTAGAAAAGGAGGAGCCCAAGTTATTGGAACTTGTTTAAATGTAGGTTTTCTTTACAAACAGTTTGAATCATGTCTTGACACACTTAGTCAGAAATTAGTCAGTAAGTGCAGAAGTTCTGATTTCATGTGAAGATGTATAGAAGGTATACCTAGTTTTTAGGAATATGTTTAGAGTACCTGCCTTGAAGATTTAAAATTTTTAACATGCCCAAAACTACTTAGTGTACTATACGATTGAAACTGCATTGATCATTGACTCAAAGTGTATTTTGATGAATGGTGCATGGAATTTATTTCTAGCTACAAGTAACTTTCACCCCTAACATTATTAGTAACAGGGACTTGTTTTGTAGTCTTGTACTTACTGTATGACTGTTGCTTATGTTTTTGACATTTGTATGATTATAGATAGATGTCATATACATATATGTCATACAACCAAGGGGGCTATAAGGGGTGGGGGTGGCAGCTGCCACCCTAAAATGTCACTGAGAGCAAATGGCTCCTGGATCCACGACCCAAGGGTGTGTGTAAACATATTCACAGGGTATCAAGTACCGATCAAAGTTCTGGCTTTGTTTTGTTTATTAAAACTGTATCATAAATCCCCCCCCACCCCCCGAAAATGCTTCCAGTGCACCTTCATACATTGTGCATTGTGCCTGTGAAACATAGTATACTATTAATAATTAAGGTATCTTTCATCTCAGACTATTTTTTAATGTTTGTAAATAGTGCCATAGTTGTTTTGAAGGATCCCCCTCCCCTGGAAATCATAATGCATGACCTTAGTACTGTTGAAGGTTTAGGGGTGATGATGTGAAACAAAGTGTTTCATTTATTCAAACATGAATTACATTCAGTAAATTGACAATATTATCACTTGCTAAATTAACTCTCTTCATGGAATCCAGAAGTCCAAAATATTAAGTTTTTTGTACAAAAATATAATTTTCCTGTATAGTTAATTGAAGAGAGCTTATGGATACTCAAGATGCATCCTGAGTTAATTGTAAACCAGACAGCATCATCTTTAGTTCTGTAACTATGAATTTTCTTTATAAAACAAAGGCAATTATCATTCTGATAATATCATTCCAGTCACCATAAATCAGTTGTACGGAGTCTGTAGGGAGGAAATGTTCTCTGCAGACCACTGACGTTTTTGTAGGCTTCCACTTTTTAGTCACAGTACTTCCTGTCTGTCTCATCAATACAAGTCACATCTTCATTGTTTTATCCTAAGATAAGTAATTTCCTCTTCTATAAAGGTACTAGGAGACTTGGTATTTTGTTTACTGGCTGGTTGTTGCCATTTTAGTACTCTGCATTATTTGGTGGCATTGAATTGGAAAGTGATAATGGTAGTGCTACCATAAAGTGAGATTGTAGGATGTAAGGTCCCTCATTTGGCAAACCAGTTTTTATGATGTTCTTTGTACAATCTGTGAATTATAATCAGGTATAGTCCACCCTAGTTGAAATATTTTCCATAAGGAAGTTGAGATTTTGATATTATTAGACTAACTTTATCTTGACTCTAACATGTGCCTGCTGATAAAAATAAGGTGTGGTATCATGGCTGTTTGTTTGTTTATTGATTAATGATATTTGCTTGAAAACTAACAAATGAAAAATTATAAACTTTACAGAAGTGCATGTATGCATAAAAAAAGAAAATGAGAACCATTTAAAATCAAAATTAGAATAAAATTAAATCCTTTTAAAAATATAAAAACAATAAGCAAATCCTTTAAAATACATTAAGTGAAATCCAAGATAAATAGGTAAAATGAAGAATTTTTTAAGATTGTATTTTGTATCATTTTGTATGAAAACTTTAAAGTTTATGAAATATACAGTGTAAAAATTTGATTTGTTAATTGTTACTGAGGGATATGCAATCAGTGGCAATATCACATTGATTAAAAACATTAGGAAGTTTATGGGAGAATAAAGAGAACAGAGACTCCTAATCATACAATAAAATACATTAAGGTTGTTATCTAAGTAATTCACACACTTTACAATATTAAACTTCTGAAAACATCAAGAAATTTACTTTGAACTTGAGGCTTACTCCATTCCTATGAATCAGTCTGTGCTAACTTAGGTTTATGACTCAGCTGACTTGCTGGGTTGGCTTTCTCTAAGTTTGACTGATTTTAATACATTTTTAATCTAGCTTTTATATGTTTTAGTTACTGTGGAATGCATGGGAGTGAACTGGATGGAACTGGTTAGTTCACAAGGATTGCATTACTTTTAGGCCATTTCTACTCATTATCATCCACAGGCTTATTAGTATTTACATGCTGATTTCCAGCTATGAAAACCTCTGATGCTTTTTGAGCTTATTCTTTTTATCAAAGAAACTCCATTTATGTCATACATATTTTATCTTCCAATAAAGTACTCTCCCTCCGCTTACAAGATTAGCTTTTCTCATTTTGTGCTGCCTTCCATATGCAAACTTTTTTTAGAAATGCATATCACAAGCCTTCATCCTCCCTCTGTCGGAACCTATCTCTCATGCAAATCATCATGCATCACCTCTCCACCAACTGGAGAGCACTACCATCACATGACACAAGAGGATCCCTCTATGCACCACTACCGAACTATCACTATTTGTTCGGCAGCTGTCGAGTTCAGACATTCTTTTTTACATTGTTCAGTTACCTTGAAGTGGTTTATTTTTTTCTTAACTATACTTCACAGTTGTGGAGTTAATATTTTAATAAAGCATTATTTCCTCATCTTTCCTGCTTATGAGTTCCGAAGTTACAGTCACCACTTAGGGTACTTTGCCAGCATCTGATGCCGTATCTTCAGTCATGGGCAACCCGTTTGGGATATATCATAGCTCAATTGCCAGGAGATTGAGTGGTGTATGAGCCAAACTTTCTCGCCTACTTCGGCCCCACTTCCTCACTAGCCTTTCATGCCAAGCCAGACTGAAGACGATTTTGATCATTTGTCATGAGTTTACTGCATCTTCCCATTCACTACCTGATGATTCAGCTCAATCTTCATTAGTCTTTTCAGACTTTATTTCTCAGGTATGTAATGTTTTGTCTCTTACACCTATTTCCTATAACCTTAGACCTTCTCTCTTACATTAAACAACTTTCTGACCCTATTTAGGCTTTCCCCATCCCCCAAATATTAGGGTTCACTGGACTGATTTGCCACACAACTGGGGAAGGGTGTTAGTATGTCTTGTCCCCCACATATCTTGAATCAGTTCGCCCTTGCTTATAATTGGGCAGACTTTCCCTTTCTTGACCAACAGTTGTTGAGGTTGGTTCAACATGTTTGGGGGGTGAACCAAGATTACCCTGTCGAACTTACCCAAGCTCAATTTTATCACCTTCATCTCACCTTCACGACCCTTTCAAGGTACCTTTCTTCCTTTCACCTTTTGTCAGAGGCTTTTCACAGGAACCTTGAGGGGTTTTCTGCTAAAATTCACTCCATTCTTACTCCTATATTGGCTTGTCTGTCATCTTTGGCTCTCATGCTGGAAACGTTTTTTTGTTATTGTTGGGACCTCTTGGGCTGTGATGCAGTTTTGCTGTGGGCCTGTCTCCAGTCTCCTTTTCTGAGGGACCTCCACATGGTGCTGTTTTAGTGCTGTATGTCATTTCATTTCTTCATTTCTTCAACACCCGTCT